AAAGAAAGAAAGAAAGAAAGAAAGAAAGAAAGAAAGAAAGAAAGAAAAAGAAAGAAAGAAAGAAAGAAAGAAAGAAAGAAAGAAAGAAAGAAAGAAAGAAAGAAAGAAAGAAAGAAAGAGCCACACCAATGTTGGGCTGGACTGTGGCCGTATGTCGAGGACTACCTGTACCGGGTGGCTGGGAAGTTCCCAGTCACCTGCCGGGCGCCAGGTAGAACGGGAGCGAAGCGCGTCGCTCCGCCTCCGACGGGGAAAGTTTCCCCGCCTCTCCATCCACACCGCCCGCCCTCCTCCCAGCCGTAAGTCCGCGGAGCTGAGCCGGCTGGCTTCGGTTCCCTCTCCAGTGAGTCCGAGCTGCCATGGCGAGCGGGGTGGTGGCCGCCGGCTTTCTCCTGGTCCTGGCCCTTGGGTGGCGCGGCGGCGGCGGCGGCGCTGGCGCTGCAGGTACCCCTCGGCAAAGGCGCGATCGGCGGGGCAGGAGGGGGCCGGGCGACCGGGCAGAGCAGGGGGCAAAGGTTGGGAGGTTGCAGCTGAGCCGGGAATGGCCGCTGCTGGGGGGACGGGGGACGGTGGGGTCCCATTTGGAAAGGAGACCACGAGGAGATCCCCCCCCCCCCCGGGAGGGACTAAAACCGGACGGGGAAAACCCCGCGCGAAAAAGCACCAAGGATCCTTCTCCACTACGGACGAAGGAAGGTGTCGCCTTTACTTTGGTTTTACTTCCCAGACAAAGGATGTAACTCTCCCCTCAGATAACAGATAGTCAAGAGTCGGAAGGGACTTTATGGGTCATCTAGTCCAACCCCGCCCCCGCCCAAGCGGGAGACCCTACACCTCCCTTCCGAAGTTTCCCCCGCGTCCCTTTTCCGCCTTCGTCCGCCTGCCTAAAATCCGATTGAAGGCGCGGAGTTTCTTTTGCAACGATCGGGATTTAAGAGGGATTTTATGACGTCGTTCGTCTCTCTCTTTCCCCACCCCCAGACCCGCAACTCCAAAATTTTCAGGAATACTGCATACTTCCCCGCTTCTCCCCAAGCTTCAAAAGAGCTTTCGGTCACAACTGTCTGTGCTCCCCCCCCCCCCCCCGCCCCCCTCCCAAGTTTTAAAAGTTGAGGGAGTGGGTGGAATTAGGTGCATAATTTTTCTACGATTCTTTTATAGCTTTTCTAACTGTTGGGTGAGGGCGAGGGAAGGGCAACTGAGAAGTTTGCCCTGTTTCGATTAGGAAAGGGGACAAGAAGCAAGACATTTTTTGTGAGAAAGGAAAAGGAAAGAGAAGGAGAAAGAAAGAAGGAATGCAAGCACAAAAAAGGGTAGAAAAAGAAAAAAAAGGAGAGAAGGAAATAAAAAGAGAGAGAAAGAGGGAAAAAAGAAAGAAAATAGGTGAAAAAGAAAGAAGAAAGAAAGAAAGAAAGAAGAAAGAGGGGAAAGAAAGAAAAGGAAGAGAGAGAGAAAGAAAGAAAGAAGAAAGAGGAGAAAGAAAGAAAGAAAGAAGGAAGGAAGAAAAAAGAAAGAGAAGGAAGGGAGAGAGAGAGAGAAAGAAAGAAAGAAAGAGAGAAGGAAGAAAGAAAGAAAGAAAGAAAGAAAGAAAGAAAGAAAGAAAGAAAGAAAGAAAGAAAGAAAAAGAAAGAAAGAAGCTGTGAATAGAAGACAGGTAGAAATACAAAGTAAAATAAAATTAATTTGTGAATTAGACAAAATTCAACTGGGGTTCTTCCTGGTCAACCCCAACCTTTTAGCCTGCAAAAATAGCCGCGTTGTGATGAATTTATAGAGAATTTTCCAACACTTTTCAGTCTGGCTCATTCAACCAAGCTAAGAATGAAAAATGGAAAACGCTGCTATTTATATGCAGGGTTCTGGGTGAGGAGGAATGGTACTGTTGGACACAGATTTAATAGAGCAGGATGAGTCTGCATTCTTCTTGGCAAGATAAAAGCCTGGGCGATGCTTTTAGAGCGAGTGCAACTGCGATACTCTTCGCTTGTCTCATATCAGCTTCCAAGAGTTGATGGGATCTGCTGCACTTTATTTAAACCTAGCGCACCCTATTTGATTTGCTCGGGTGTGTCTAAATCGTGGCTTAAGGGTGGCATGCCCAATGTGTTTTGTGTTTATATCCTGCCTTTATTGTTTTTATAAATAACTTGGCAAACCAATCCAGCACACTTTCCTCCTCCTGTTTTTCCCACAACAACAACCCTGTGAGGTGGGTTGGACTGAGAAGGGAGGGAGGGGACCAAAGTCCCCCAGCTGGCTTTCATGGCTAAGGTTGGACTAGAACTCCCAGGTTTTTAGTGATTGGTCCAAAAGTCTCCCCAACTGGCTTTCCTGCGTAAAATGGGACTAGTCTCCTGCTGATTGGTCCAAAGTCGCTCAATTGACTTTCATGCCTAAGGCAGGACTAGAACTCCCAGTCTCCTAGTGATTGGTCCAAAAGTCGCTCAATTGACTTTCATGCCTAAGGCAGGACTAGAACTCCCAGTCTCCTAGTGATTGGTCCAAAAGTCACCCAGCTGGCTTTCATCGCTAAAGCAGGACTAGAAATCCCAGTCTCCTAGTAATTGGCCCAAAAGTCCCCCTAAACTGGTTTCCCTGCCTAAGGCACTCACAGTCACCTGGTGATTGGCCCAAAGTCACCCAACTGACTTTCATGCCTAAGGCGGGACTAGAACTCCCAGTCTTGTGCTGATTGGCCCAAAAGTCACCCAGCCAGCTTCCATGCCTATGGCGGGACTAGAACTCAGCATCTCCTGGTGATTGGCCCAAAGTCACCCAGCTGATTTTCATGCTTAAGGTGAGACTAGAACTCACAGCCTCCCGGTTTCTAGCCTGCTGCTTAAAGCACTGGCTCTCAATGCCAGGCTAGGTGGATGGAAATTCTAACTCTGTGTTTTGCAACCCTGGCAACTTTAAGGCATGTGGACTTTCACTCCCAGGAATTAGGACATTTAGATAAATAAATTTTTATCTCCCCCAGAAACCGAAGAAGTGGTCGTTGGCGAACCGGACGGGGAAGTGTCCCTGCGATGCTGGAACGCATCTTCTCAAGTCTTGGCGGTCCAGTGGTTTCGCGGTGAGCTGGGTGAGATTCCCATCCTCCTCTCCTCCGACGGAAAGCTGCTTTCAGACAGCCGCTTTTCCCTGGTGGAAAACAGCACCCTGCACATCTCGGGATTGCGTTTGGAGGACGAAGGTCATTACGTGTGCAGGGAGATCCTGGCTGAGACCAACCATACCCACAGGACCCAGTTACTGATGGCCGGTAAGTCTTCCTTCATCTTGCTTCAAGAGTTAGCATGGACGTGGTGGCTCAGGGGCTAAGACGCTGGGCTTGTCGATCAGAAAGGTCGGCAATTCGGCGGTTCGAATCCCTAGCGCCGCATCGCAGAGTGAGCTCCCGTTCCTTGTCCCGGCTTCTGCCAACCTAGAAGTTCGAAAGCAAGTAAAAAATGCAAGTAGAAAAATAGGGACCACTTCGGTGGGAAGGGAACGGAGTTCTGTGCGCCTTTGAAGGCGTTTAGTCCTGCCGGCCACATGACCACGGAAGCGTCTTGGGACAGCGCTGGCTCTTCGGCTTTGTAACGGAGATGAGCACTGCCCCCTAGAGCCAGAAATGACTAGCACGTATTATGTGTGAGGGAAACCTTCACCTCTACCTTTATGTGGGTATAGGTATCCCATTAAGTCCACAATTGTCAGCCCGACAAGGTAGGTCATATGAAAAATAAACAAATGAACAAAAAAACCCTCACTGTCATATGGGTCAGGACTAGTTTTATTGTAAAACTTTTCTTGTGGTTAAGAAGCTGGCCTAGAAACCAGGAGGCTGTGAGTTCTAGTCCTGCTTTAAGCATGAAAGCTGGCTAGGTGACTTTGGGCCAATCACTAGGAGACGGTGAGTTCTAGTCCTGCCTCAGACATGAAAGGCAACTGGGTGATTTTGAGCCAGTCACCAAGAGACTAAGAATTCAGCATCAAAGCTGGCTAGGTGACTTTGGGCCAATCACCAGGAGATGGTGAGTTCAAGTCCTGCCCCAGGCTTGAAAGCTGGCTGGATGATTTGGGTCCAATCGCCCAGGAGATTGGGTTGCCTGAATAGTGCCACAAAACAGTTCCAAGAAGTTTCCACATCCATTTGCACTATTCAGGTGACTCTGAGGGCACAGATAAACCTCCAAGAGGCCATAACAATGCTCAGAAAGAGTGCTAACGACCAGACGACTTGCTAAGGAATATAAATCCTTCCAATCTCCACCACGCAGTCAGAACTGAAGAAGCTCCTCGGATGAGAAGGGAAACGCCTTCAAGGAAAAACCAAGAAAGCCCAATTGCCTCTTGGAAAAGCACCTTTGGGACAACCCCGACCTGAATGACTAAGAATCTCCACAAAACTTCCATAAGTTATTACTCTGCGACCTCTTTTCTCTTGGAGGATAAGCGAGCGGCCAGCCCCCGTTGAACCTTTCTGAAAAGGTAGCAGGTAGCCGAGCTTTGAAAATGAGGCGAGATCGAGAGAGGTACCAATAACTACTCTATAAAGCCTTAGTAAGGCCACGCCTAGAATACTGCATCCAGTTTTGTAAAAAAGATGTTGAGACTCTAGAAAAAAGTACAGAGAAGAGCAACTTGATTCTCTGCAGCCAAAGGTTGTTCTGTTCCTGGGAGAGTTTTTTTCTCCAGCCCAGAAGGCAACCAGGACATTGGGGGCAAAGTTGGAGCTAATAAAGGGACTCCTCTTGATGATCTGACTGTGTTGCCTTCGTCCCACACCCCATCACAAGCAGGGGGGTTGGACTAGAAGACCTCCAAGGACCCTTCCATTCTGCAACTTCTACTCCTCGAACAGGCCAGGTTTGCCATTTCTGCAAACTTACCTACACCGACACTTACGCAATCCCTTCCACAAGATTTCCGCATTCTCCCAGTGTTGTGCGCACAATAACCTTGCTGCAATTCCCAGATATGAGCCCTTGTTCCAGCTTCTTATCTGCTTTCAAGGCGTGGCTGGCTGGTAGTTCTGGTGTTCGCTTGTGGAAAGCGAGAGCCGCGCCCCTTTTAACCGGTGCACAACAGCACCTGCCACGCGGGGAGGATTTGTAGGTGTGCAATCCACTTGACCTGTGGCTGCAATTGAGACCAGGAGATTCCTTGCTTTAGGAAAGGGGTTCATGCTGCACTGATCTGCTTAACAACCAGGTCACAAAAGGTCACAAAAAAGGATTCTTTTATCTATCTTATATGTTCTAAACATGATGAGACCATCTCTGGAGCTTCTTTGTACAAAAAAGGAAGGGGCAGACAGAGGGGATTTCCTGTTTGTGTCACGCCAGGGTTCCCTCTTTAAATTCAAATAAGAAAACAGGTCAGGAAGTTTATTAGGCGTATTGGAAATTGTCTGCCACCGCCTTAATTCCCATGGGGGGCGGGGGAGGGGGGGGCTTCATTGCCAGGATTTGTCCTTGGCTCAGATCCTAGCTGGCTACGGCCACCTGCTCCTGGTAACTCTGTCTGCTGTTGTGGTTGTGGAGAAAAGCTTTGCTTAGCCTGTTGAGGTTCTGCCCGCTTCACCGGGAAGCTACAACTAGTTCAAAATGTAATATTGGTTGTCTTGGATCACCATCGAGCCCAAAATTTCCATTGCTAAACAAGACAGACTATTCTTCTTCTCATCCTTCCTATTACCTACCTCTTCCAGCTTACGACTATAACCGTGTCGCATGTTTCTTTACAACCGATATTGTTATTTTTGTTTCCTAGTATAATTCGATTGCTTATTAGTAACCTATGACTATCACTAAGTGATTCTTTAACACTTTCATTTGGACCTGCTTGCTTTCCAGGTGGACCAGATCAGATGGAAGTCAGCATATCTCCCACCGGGACATTGCCAAACGGCACACTTTATGCCAAAAGACACGACGTCTTGAACTTCACCTGCAGCAGTGACACTTGGCCTGATTCGGCCACTAAGTGGGATTTTAACCCGCTTGGTTCTGCGCAGGAACCATTCACCGAAGTCAACAGCTCACGGAGTTCATTCGTGCTACAGAACGTCATGCCCGACTACCAAGGGAACTACTCATGCCTGGCCACCAACCTGTTGAGCCAGCATCAGAAGTCCGTCATCCGTGAACTCCTGGTCTACTGTACGTAGGACGAAAAGTATTGGCAGTATAGGGGAGCGTGCACGGGTGTCATTTTTCCCAGGGGAATGTTGCATTTCTGGAAATGCACAGAATTGTTGGCTCTGTGCCTTTCTCTTAAGGGATCATTTCCCTTGAAGCATTTAAAATGATTAAAAGCATTCCACATGTGGAATTAAAACAGCTTGAAGAACTAAATGATAACGGACAGAAGCTTACCAGAGAGAGAGCCAAACCAGTGGTGGGATTCAAAAAAATTTTAACTACTGGTTCGGTGGCCGTGGCTTGGTGGGCGTGGCAAGGGAAGCATACTGCAAAATCCCCATTCTCCCCCCACCCCACTAACCTGCTTTCCAGCTCCGTTCTCCTGGGCAGGGCAACCAAAGAAGAACCCAGCCAATTGGCTGAGACTCAGGATGCACAGAATAGATGGGGGTGGGGGACAATCAGAGGTGGCATTGGCCGGTTCTCTGAACTACTCAAAATTTCCACAACCGGTTCTCCAGAACTGACCAGAACCAGCTGAAACCCACCTCTGCTTCTTTCCCTTTGCTCCTCTCTTCTTTCCAAGTAGTGGGATCCAAATTTTTCACTACTGGTCCTGACCATCAGAGCATTAGTATTTCCTATATTATTATTATTATTATTATTATTATTATTATTATTACTATTACTATTACTATTACTATTATTACTATTACTATTATTATGCTCTGATGCTAAGGAGTTCTACTCCCCCTCCCCACCTGAAAAGAAATCTTTTCCAAATGCAAAACACAAGCAGAGGAGAGGAGTCTCAGTTTCAGTTTTACAGCAGCAAGCCGCCTTAGTACAGAACAGCTGAGCTAAGCCACGCCCAGGCTCCTTGCTGTCTCCTTTTTGCTCACACAAGCAAATACTCTTTCAGTTTCCAAACAGCCCTCAACTCTCTCTCACACTAGCCAGATGAATACCGATGGATGGCGGTAGGCAGAGGCACATTTTTTCCCCCCTTATTTTCCTCCCCCAAAACTCAGCCCGACCACATAGTTTCGTAGCGAATCACGGGTATCCAGCTAGTTTTTAATATTTGTCTCCAGTGCTTGAAAAGTGGGCAATGAAAATGTAAATAAATAAGACCCATGGCTACTTCGCAGTCCTTTTGCAAGCTTCTCTCTTCAGATCCCCCGCCGTCGTCTCCAAAATGTCGGGCCGAGGCCTCCATGGAAAATTCTCAGGAGGTTCAACTGTTGTGCAGCTGGCCCGGGGGCTACCCATCCCCTACGCTCCAGTGGATCCCCCCGGAGGATCTAGTCATGGATTCCAACACCACCCACTTTGCCAATGCTACAGTGGTGTCTCTGCAAGGATCCCGCCGGCTTTGGGGCAAGGATTTTATCTGTCGCGGAAGCCATGTCGCGAATGAGAAAGAAACCCAGGATTGCACCTTGCGCTTGGGTGAGTCAAGGATGAGGCTACTGAATTGCCCAATTCCAGGGTACGTCCCAAGACTCCAAACATTAAAGGGTGTGGGTGGGATTGAGCTTCGGTGGCGCAGTGGTTGGAGTGCAGTACTGCAGGCTGCTTCTGCTGACTGCCGGCTGACTGCAATTTGGCAGTTCGAGTCTCACCAGGCTCAAGGTTGACTCAGCCTTCCGTCCTTCCGAGGTGGGTAAAATGAGGACCCAGATTGTTGGGGGCAAGAGGCTGACTCTGTAAACCGCTTAGAGAGGGCTGGTGAAGCGGTGTATAAGTCTAAGTGCTATTGCTCTGCCTCTCCTCCCCTTCCTTCCTCCCTCCCTTCCTTCCTTCCTTCCTTCCTTCCTTCCTTCCTTCCTTCCTTCCTTCCTTCTTTCCCTCCCAGTGGTTAGAATGCACTATTGCAGGCTAACTCACTGCCCACTGCCAGCAGTTCAATCCTGACTAGCTCAAGGTTGACTCAGCCTTTCTGTCCTTCCGAGGTGGGTAAAATGAGGACCCAGATTGTTGGGGGCAAGAGGCTGACTCTGTAAACTGTTCAGAGAGAGCTGTAAAAGCACTATAAAGTGATATATAAGTGCTATTGCTATTTCTCTGCCCATTCTCTTAATTTCTTTCCATGCGCCAGATGTAAGGAATGGCTGGTTTATGTCCCTTGTTTTATTTTTTTGGGGGGGGCTTGTTCTTTTATTTTCCCTTTGGATTTTTTTCCCCTGTACTTCTCTAAAAAGTTAACCCCCCTCCTCCTCCTCCTCCTCCTCCTCCTCCCCATCATCATCTAAAAGGTTCCCTCCATTTCTGTTAATCTGTTAAAAGCTGCCCTTCCTGTCCTTCCAACTCAACTTTGCTTTCCTCTGGTGTCAGAGAGGCCCTGGGTCATATCCAGCCCGATGAAGAGCTGCTTCGTGGGGGGACCAGCGGAGATGTCTTGTGAACTGATAGCCAGCAACCCACCTGCGAGGATCACCTGGCTACGCAACCTCTCTGAGGCGGAGGTAGAGATCCGGTCGGGGGGAAGGTTTCTCGTCAGCCAAAAGGATGGGGTCTCTACCCTTGCCATCCAGAATTGCTCCACCAGCAGAGACCAAGGGTACTACATCTGCAAGGCTGAGAACCCCCTGGGCCTCAGACAGGTGTACGTTCACCTGCAGGTGACAGGTAAGTAACGATTGAGTTGAAAAAGCGGCAGTGGTGGGATTCAAAAAGTTTTTAGCACCACTTCTGCGGGCGTGGCTTGGTGGGCATGGCTCGGGAAGGTTACTGCAAAATCCCCCTTCCCTCCCCACCCCACTAACCTGCTTTCCAGCTCCGTTCTCCTGTGCAGGGCAACCAAAGGAGACCCAGCCGATCAGCTGGGACTCGATGGGAGGCAGAGAAGAGATGGGGTTGGCGGGGCCTGTCAGAGGTGGCATTGGCAGATTCTTTGAACTACCCCAAAGTTTCCGCTCCCGGTTCTAGAGAACCGGTCCAAACCGGCTGAATAACCACCTCTGAAACAGTGGCACTTTGGCCTGTTTCAACAAATGGAGATGTTGAAAAGGACAGGCAGTCCTTGACTAACAAGCCCAACATTTCTCTCTCCATGTGAGACCTATCTTAAATGTCCCATTTTACAACCTTTCTTGCCACAGTTGTTAAGGGAGTCACACAGTTGTAAAGCGAATCTGGCTGTGATGACCTGGGGGTGTGACACCAAAATAACAAAGTCTCAAAAATGGAATAAATTCCCTTTAACGCCTCCAACTTGGCCCCTAACGTCCAGTTATCCTCGGCTGGAGATCAAACTTTTCCAAAAACAGTCTACAAAGGGAAGAAACGCAGTCCGAACCCAAAGTAAAATACTTAGAAATAAAAAAAACCAACATAATGAACACAGCAGGCCAGGATGATAAATTGCAGACTTTCAAAAGATGTTTAAGGTTTCCTTTTGAATTACACTTTTGAAGGGTGGGGATCTTGCAAATTTTAAGAAATGGGAGAGGAGGAAAGAAGAAACCGAAGGAGGAAAGGAGGAGAAGCTGCTTCGTAGTATTTCCACCTCTCTCCCTCTGCCTTTTCCCATCTCAATGCTTTTTTCTTTCCAACTTTGTCTGCAGAGCCTTTGAACGTTGCTGGAATTGTGGGCTCCGTTGTAGTCCTTTTACTGTTGGGAGTCCTGGTCTTTTCCGGAATCCTTCTCTATTTAGGACCTCAGGCGTGCCTCAAAGGTGAGAGAGGTTCTGTAGAAAATTACTCATTAGAGTAATCAAACCAACAGAATGCATTTGGGTTTTAAAATGCGTTTTTCTTGGGTTGCGCTTTAGGCAATCATATTAAGAACTTTGAAAAAGAAAATATTTTGAATATATTGGCACACCCTTCCAATCATTAAATAAAATATAACCAAAGGTTTCTAAATGTGATCTATTGCTAATATGGGCAGCAAATACATTTGATGATTGGTAGGTAGGTAGGTAGGTAGATAGATAGGTAATAAATAGATAGATGGATGGATGGATGGATGGATAGATAGAAAGATAGATGACAGATGATAGATAGATAGATAGATAGATAGATAGATAGATAGATAGATAGATAGATAGATAGATTATAGATTATAGATTTTTGACATTGCATTTCATGCTTACTGTATAAACTTAGAAAGCAAATGAATAACTTTTTAATAAAAGTATTTTTCTCCTTTTCTCTCTTTCGTGTTTCCAGTGAACGTGCTTCGGTAAGTTTCTTTATTTCTTAACCAGAAAGTCTCAACCAGTTTCATCCACAGAAACCATCATTTAGAGAAAGGATTGTCAAACCTTGTGGTAGTTTGACTCTCTTAAAATGAGATAGCACGTGAATTTCTACAAAGCCTCGCCCAGTGAATAAAACCAACAATTTCATTGGGGTTAAGGTTGGGCAAGAAAGAAATTTGCCACTTATAATTATACCTTTAAGTCTAATATTTTGGATTCTATGTCACAGAGTACTCAATAGCTGTGATAGTTCACCCATCAACTGCAGGTATACTTGATAACAATGGAAGAGAATATTTATAGCTCAGGGTTGAATTGTGGTGTCCTTGGTGCTCTCTGAGCTTGGCTGTTTTCTTGCAGACATTTCCTTACATCATCAGTCCTAGAAGGAGTGGGGTTTGCAGAGAGGAGGAGGAGGAGGAGGAGGAGGAGGAGGAGGAGGAGGAGGAGGAGGAGAAAGGGAAGAGGTGGAGAAACAGGTGGAGGTCCGTGAGGTCCTTGGTTTTTTTTTTTTGCAGATGTGTCAGTACCCAACTAGGTAACACGGTCAATGCTAGAACTAATCGGGTAATGATACATCTGCAAGAAAGCAACCAAGCTCACAGAATATCAAGGATCCCATACTTGATAATATCTCCCATGGTTCCCAGCTGGAAAATGTGACCTGTCTGCCAGGTTTTGGGTCACAGATCCAGGTGCTCCCTTTACTGAACATCACCTGGCAGGGATGGTCCTTCAAACAAGGAGAAGACGACGAAGGGGTCCCTTCCTTCCTTCCTTCCTTCCTTCCTTCCTTCCTTCCTTCCTCCTTCCTTCCTTCCTTCCTTCCTTCCTTCCTTCCTTCCTTCCTTCCTTCCTTCCTTCCTTCCTTCCTTCTAGTCATTCTTGTCTTCTATTGCAGGAATCAAGATGCGGGTGACATTCTTGAACTTATGGACTCAGAAGAAGAGGACCTGTACTTGGAGTCCACCGGGGAACCAACGTTGCATCAGACGGAAGGGAGAGGAAACGGGTGTTCTACCGGATCTACGGAAAGTAAGCTGAATGAAGTTGAATTGACGCTGCAGGCAGGCATTATTCTGTCTCATTTTGTCCTGGCGGTTCCAAGGTCTGAATCCCAAAAGGGAATGACATCTTTACCGTATTTTTAAAGAAATTCTTCTCAGCGCATTTCTTAGGCCTTTTTTCGAGCGAAGTATAGGTCCCTCTTGAACCATTAAGGGAGAAATAGGCTTCTTGGGTTGTGTTGGTAGGAATCACCCAGTCGGATTTCAGGCCCAAGGTGGAACTAGAACTGTGATGACCCCGGAGTCTCTCAAAATAACCCCCAAACCCAAAACATATATTAAAGTCCGGGAAGGCCTTCAACTTAACTTCACTGTTTTATTGGGCACAGTTTAAAGTCACAAAAGTAAACAATGAGGCAAACAGAAAACCAAAACAAACCGCATTTGACCAGAGTTCCGAAGCAAGCCAAGATAATTAATCATAAACTCCAGGAAAATAACCGAGGAGAGTCCATGGGAAGAACGCCAGCACAGATAAACCTCTTTCAAGGTGACCACTAAAATGGACTCCTGCAAATTCTAACTGCGCAGTTGCAAACTTATACACATAGCTCCCAGCTGCAAGCCACGAGGAGGATCATGGGAACCTCCTCTTGAGTAGACCTCGTTTTTCCCTGATCCTCTCCTCCCTGCGGGACCTAGGATGGATAGGGGATGGGCCTGGATCCTCCTCTGACTGCTCAGCCGGCCTCTGCCCTTCCCCAGCCTCCTCCACAACCTCTGGAGCCACACTTTCACTCCCTGTTGGCTGTTCCTCCTCTTCCTCAGAGTCCGACTCTAACAAGGGAATGACAAGAACGCATGATCTCCTGGTTTCTATCCTAGTGCCATTAGACCAAACTGGTTCTTATAATAGGGAAGGGAGAGAGGGAGGAAGACAGATGACTTGGTAAAGCTGCTAACCGAATCTGTATGTGTGTGTGTGTGTGTGTGTGTGTGTGTATAACAAAATATTCTAAAAATAAGAGTTCCAGGTATACTCGTAAAAGAAGAAACAGATATCCTGCGATCTCCGGAACTAGGCTGACCTCAAGGTCACGAGCAAAGTGACAAATTGCAATAGCTTGCAGGTTAACATCACCTCATACAGATAAGCATTCCAGGCTAGGTCTGACAAGGGAGGAACCAACAACAAGAGATAAGCCTCCTTTGACTAATACGACTGAAGCAAAAAAGTTAATTACAGATGGGAGGCGGTTGGAAGGGCCTATTAAAGCGTGCAAGGGCTAAATTGATTAATGATATATAAAGGCAGAGATCTTTGTAATGGTGGCTTAACACTCTGACAATGTCAGCAGAGGCTGACGAAAGTTTAGTAAGTACAAGAAATATAATTTTTAGTTCTGGAGATCGCAGGATGTCTGTTTCTTCTTTTACATATGTGTGTCTGTGTGTCTGTGTGTACGTGTGTGTGTCTTTGCTTTTTAATGACCCCATAATCCCTTGCATCGGGGTGGAGCCGGGGCAACTGAATGGAGCTGAGTGTTTACTGGCCGGTTGCCCTTCCTGTTCCCAATGCGGAGTTCGCAGCAGACAGCGACTCATGGCGCCCAGAGAGAGAAATACCTGCCGCTACCTAGGATCAAACTCACAACCTCCTGATTGTGAGGCGAGAGCTCCACCTCGAAGCCACCGCGCCACTCGCTAACCGTCCCTCGCTATGTTTTGTTTTTTTTAATTTCTGCGCCTGTTTTGCAGGCTCATTTCCGGAAACGTCCATCTCCCTGGAGGAAATCCAGAGGTCCAAGCCCACGTCGTAGAGAAGGCGACCTCTTCCTTTGCGTTACGTGCTAAGAACGGAAGCCACCTTGGAACTACGGGACCCAAAGGATTCCTGCAAAGTTCTTCCCATCTGGGTTGACGCCTCTCTTTTTGCCTCTCCTGGTCGCCCTTCCTGTGCTTGCTTGCCGCTGCGGTTTGGCTGCGCGGCCTGCCCTGTGGAATTGGAAACCATCTTTGCGACGTAGGCGAGGATAAGAATTCAAGGGGCTTTTACGGAACCGGAAGCAGCAGCATTCCCGGGGCAATTTTCCGTGGAGAAGCAGCCTTGAGGCCCCGCGGAAGAGCTGGAGGAACAGGGAAGAGATTTCCCAACTGGTCCCGGATCCCAGGCTCCTAGCTTGGATACGACTCTTAATTGGAGTCAAAGCTCGTTAGGGAAGCTGTTTCGGGGTAGGAAGAGTCACAGCAGCTTCTGTTGGGGGCAGAAAAGAATAACTGAACAGGGAAGCATCCCCTCTAGTCTAGGGGAGGAGGAGGACTTGAGGCAATCTAAAAACACTTTGTGTCCAGAGGTGGGTATTCAGCCGGTTTGGACTGGTTCACTAGAACCGGTAGTGGAAATTTGGAGTAGTTTGGAAAAATTGGCAAATACTACCTCCGGCTGGCTCCGCCCCCATTTATTCTCCGCCTCCCCTTGAGTCCCAGCTGATTGGCTGGATCTCCTTTGGTTGCCCTGCACAGGAGAATGGAGAGGGAAAGCAGGTTAATGGGGCGGGGAGGGAAGGGGGATTTTGCAGTCACCTTCCCCTGCCATACTCACCAAGCCACGCCCACCAAGCCACGCCCACACGTCCACACCACGCCCACAGAACCACCACGCCCACCAAGCCACGCCCACAGCTGACGGGCTGGGTCTTTTTTGGCTGCCCCGCACAGGAGAACGGAGCTGGAAAGCAGGTTAGTGGGGTGGGGGAGGGAGGAATGGAGATTTTACAGTATCGTCCCCCTGCCATACCCACCAAACCACCCACCGAGCCACTCCACATCCACCAAACCACGCCCGCAGAATCGGCAGTAAAGGTTTTTTTGAATCCCACCACTGTAAAATTGTGTTTTCTGGGGCTTGGATGTAGGAAGTGACTGAGAAAGATCATCCTGTCTTAGGTTGCCCAAGACGAGAGGCAGACATTTGGCGGGGGGCGGGGGGGGAGCTTCGGGCAGGTGTTATATCTCAGCTCTACCTGGGTATTGAATTTTGGGGTCTTCTTCCCACGAAGACGATTGGGCATCCCTGAGCGACCTGCTTCGTTTCTGGGGTCTTCAGTGGTCCGTGAATTGTAGGAGCAGCCGCAGCTCTTACCTGCCAAGGTATATAGTCAGTCTGAACTGCGCTAGATTACTGTATAAAAAGATGAATATATATATATATATATATATATATATCTGGAAAATCATCGGCATCGTTTAACGAGCCCATAATCCCTTGCTGGGTGGAGTGGAGCCTGGGCAACCGAATGGAGCTAGTTTTCATGGCCGGATGCCCTTCCTGTCACCAATGAGGAGTTATATTCAGCAGGTCCATTCTCACTGTGCCCAGAGAGAGAGAGAAAGAAATAATCTGCCTCTACCTAGGATCGAACTCACAGCCTCCTGACTTCTAGGCCAGCGCCTAGAAATGGAAATGAATTGTTCGAGAGTGAAGACTACCGGTGCCTGTTGAGGTTAGAACCGCAACATACAAATTTGATGCTGGATGTCAGACGCTGGAATAATGTACAAAACTTGAGTCAGGGTCTATTTATGGACCTGCAGGCGGGTTAGTTTTTTCTCCTTAAAACAACACTTTTCCGGGTGACATAGCAGAAGAACAGAGTTGGAAGGGACCTTGGAGGTCTTCTAGTCCAACCCCTTATCAGGCAGGAGGTCCTGGCCTATACCAATTCAGACAAACGGCTGCCCAAACTGCCCTGTGTTCTCCTGCGGTGTTGCAAAGGCAATTTGACCTGCTCCACTCCTGAAAAACCCTCATTTCCATTTCAAGGCCGGTAGCAACCAGAGGTCAACAACATTCTTACTGCCTTGTAAATCTGGATGCGGATCTTTTGTTCATGGAATAAAAGCCTTTGGCTTTTGGAGACAAAGATTAACTGCCCCGCAAGGGGTGTGCGTACGTGTGTGCTATGTGGGTGTTACTAACTGAATTGCGTGAGGTTTTTGTAATTCATTTCACACGTTTTAAGAAAACTGGAGCTATTCTTGTTTGGCGGCCTTAAGCTAAAATGCATATTATTTATGCCGTTTGTACCCTGTTTACCAAGGGAAGTGTTTTTTTCTGTACAGCTAGTCCTCACTTAATGACCGCAATTGGGGCCAACATTTCTGTTGCTAAGCGGGACATTTCTTAAGCAAAGACTACTTTTTACTTAGGCTACTTTACTCAGACTAGACTCCCTGAAAGTCCACCTGGCTGTGGAGGGTGGGAGCTGCGGTCAAGCAAACTTGGCAGCTTGGGGGAAGCAGCTGGATGGATCAGACTCCTCCCGGAAAGCCCATCGGGCTGTGGAGGATGGGAGCTGTGGTCAAACAACTGCCAGGTGGGGAAAGCAGCTGGATGGAGCAGCCTATTCTCCCCATCAGGATGTGGAGGATGGGAGCTGTGGTCAAACAACTGCCAGATGGGGAAAGCAGCTGGATGGAGCAGCCTATTCTCCCCATCAGGCTGTGGAGGATGGGAGCTGCGGTCAAGCAAGCGCCAGATGGGGAAAGCAGCTGAGGCTCCCCGCCCCCCGGCAAATGAGTCGGGGACGTGCAACTTTTCTTCCGAATAGATCGGTTGCAGGCAGGCAGCCCTCCACCTGCTCCCCTTCGCAAGCCGCCGTGCGCCCAGGGCGCAAAAGTGGCGCAGGGGCGGAGCGCGCCTCCTCCTCCTCCTCCCCCCTCCTCTTCTCCGCCCCGTCTCTCGGCTGCGCGCCGGCTCTCGGGCTACTCGCCGCCTTCCCATCCTCCGCGAGCCCGTCACCTGACTCCTCCCGGCTCGGGAAGAGGAAACGGCCCCCCGGATGGAAGCGGCCGCCCCGGGCGAGGGTTGCCGGCCGCGGCTGCTGCTGCCGCCAGTGGGAGAGGCGGTGGCGGAGGGTGAGTGAGTGGGCGCGCCGGTCCCCTTCGCCCCGGGGGGAGGCTCGGCGAGAAGGGCAATTCCGGCGTTGCCCGAGGCCGAAACAAGCGGGAGGCTGGCCGCTGGGACGCACCTTTCAGCATCACCTGGCCGAATCGGACAAGGGCGTCTCGGGCACCGGGGGTGGGAGGGGAGGGAGGGTTGGCCCGCCCCGGAGACCAACAAGGCTCTCCTCCTGCAGTGGCCCTTTAAAAGAGACCCTGGGATCTTCTTCGCTGAGGGTCTCCAAGATCCTTCCCCTCCCTCCCTCCCTCCTTCCCCTTTCTGCGTGCGCGCAACTGCCTGGACAAATCCCTGCAAATTTTGCACGGGTTGGTTTGCCCTTGTCTGCTTCTGGGGCTGACCGGCCCAAAGACACCCCACCACCACACACACACACACACACCACCCGGCTGAATTTGTGCCGAAGGTGGGACTAGAACTCAGGGTCCCCCCGGTTGGTAGCCGCTAAACCCGTTCTTAACCCTTTCCTCCCCTTCCCTTTCCCATCCTTCATTTTCCTTTCCCTCCTCCTCCTCTCTCCCTTTCCCATCCTCTATTCTCCTCCACTCTCTCCCCCTTCCCTTTCTCTATTTCCTTTCCTTTCCTTTTCCTCTCCTCTCCTTTCCTCTATTTCCTGTCCTTTTTATATTTGTCCTTTCCTTTCCTTCTCGTCTTTCCTTTTCCTTTCCTCTCCTTTCCTCTATTTCCTTTCCTTCTCTTCTTTTTCCTCTCCTCTCCTCTGTTTCCTGTCCTTTCCTTTCCTTCTCTCCTCCCTTTCCTTTCCTTTCCTTTTCCTGTCCTTTCCTTTCTCTATTTCCTTTCCTTCTCTCCTTTCCTTTCCCTATTTCCTGTCCTTTCCTCTCCTCTCCTCAAATTAAACCCTCAAAATTAACTCTGAGAGCGGAGGAGCTGGAAAGCAGGTCAGTGGGGTGGGGAGGGAATGGAGATTTTGCAGTATATCCTTCCCCTGCCGTGCCCAACAAGCCACACCCACCACACCATGCCACGCCCACCAAGCCACGCCCACAGAACCGGTAGTGAAAAAAAAATTTGAATCCCACCACTGGATGGGGTCTGCTCTGTAATGCACCTGGCTATCCTCCCCTCCCCAGGAGAGCCCCTCCTCGTGGCTGAGCTCAAGCCGAGACGCCCCCAACAGCACGACTGGAAATCCAGCTGCGAGACCTGGAGTGTGGCCTTCTCCGCCGACGGGACCTGGTTTGCCTGGTCACAGGGTCACTGCGTCGTCAGGCTGCTCCCATGGCCTTTACAGAGGACCGAGCAGTGAGTATCCTACACCAACCCAGGGTGGTGGTGCTGCCTTCTTCCGAGGCTGGTTTGGACTGCCAAGTCCTTTGGACTCCTGGTAGTCAGAATAATAGACTGGGCAGAGTTGGAAGGGACCTTGGAGGTCTTCTAGTCCAGCCCCTTGCTCAGGCAGGAATGGAATAGGAATAGGATAGGGTAGGATAGAAGAGAAGAGAAGAGAAGAGAAGAGAAGAGAAGAGAAGAAAAGATTGGAATGGAATGGAATGGAAGAGAAGAGAAGAGAAGAGAAGAGAAGA